AAGAAAATATGTTGCAGGGTCAAGTCGAAAATGATAAGGTAAAAATAAATTAATAAATAAATAGAAATCAGGCAGCCTTTACATCCACACAGCTGTCTTTTAATAGATCATCCATTAAGATGCATGGGTGTACTTAAAGAATTTAATTAGCACGTGTTAATTTCCACTGCTATTTTTTCTACTCTTCTAGCATACGTCTGTTTACTTGGAGCTGATTCATTAGGTTTATTAAGTGCCCCCTACTGCTACCTGTCTGCCTCTCGTCCTCACTTGATTGATGATGATGCAAAGATTCATCACTTGCCTACTAACTCTTTCTGCATCAGAAACATTGTGCTTTTTTTTCGTTGTTACCTGATGAAAACTATGCTAACACAACAGAACCATTCCCCCCTCTATTGGCCAAGAAAGAAAATTGGAAAAAAGAGAAAAATGCTGTGTTGATCGTCATGCAGCTGTTTAATTTATGTGCATTTAGATTATTGAATGGCTGTTGTAGTATGCATATGTGTGTTTAATTATTTGCAGTATTGTTCTTTAACTTGATAAATATTTGAACAACACTTAATGCTTTGATATTTTATACATTTGTAAAGTCATTCCTTTAGACTGTTAATTTTCTGTTGACTTTTACTTTTCTCATTAAAGGTTTCCTATGCTATATTTTAGAATGCTGTTTTCGGTTTACAGATCCAGGCTTCAAGTTCAGTAGTGATGGGCACAGTAAAATATCTAATGTTGGCATATATATTTTGTTATTTATAAAGCATTAACATATTCTGCAGTGCAGTTCAATAGGTAATGTCAGTAAAATCAAATGACTCGTTGCTGTGCCTGTCATCAGTCTAACATATGCTGAACAGAAATAAAGGGTATTGGAGACACACTTGGAATGCACATTCCATTGGAAAATATAATTTTGAGGTTCTGGATAGCAGTGTCAATATTTATTTGATGCAGAACATATATATGGTATGCAGTGTGAATATGTACATAAAAGCATTGTCACTTTAATTATCTATCTAGTTATAGCACTGATTTTTTTTTGTTTTAGTTGTTTTTATCACATTCATTTTGTATGATATATATTCACAATGCTCTTATAACTGATTCATTCAATGCACTTTAGTTTGTTATATTCATTTATCAGAAGCACTGTTGAAGTTGTTGTTTGTCTTCCTTGTTAAAGGGACATTATAACAAAACAATTTTGGCTTAAAACTAAACACTTTCACCCCCCCAAATTTTTTATTTCTTATTAAAGATAGCATTTTTATTAAAAACAAATTTTGAGTGTGAAATTCCAATTCAGGCAAAAGGGACTACTTTGTCTTTGTATATTTCCTATGTCTGACGCTTCTAAACACTGGGCAGAGCTACCTCTATCTAGAAGTGTCAATCCCCCCAGTAGTCATTGGTGGTGGTCTTGCAGGATCCTCCATAGACTTCAATCCCCAGCAGTCATTGCAAATTCTGGGGGTCTGGTGGCCAGAAGAGCAGGTAAAGGAGAGTTTTACTTACCTGAACTCATCCCTCATCAACTCATCTTGGTCTGGCGGGTCCTCTCCAACTCCTGGCGCTTCAGCACCAGGAGTCGACGCCACTTCTGTATAGCATTGAGGTCTATGGAGAATCCTGCGAGACTGTGGGATCCACTATAGACAGAGCCAATTCTGGTGATGGCTGGGGGGAATTGACACTTCTAGACAGCGGTAAACTTTACCCTGTTCCTAGAAGTGTCAGGTGGTGGAAATATGCAGAGTGAAAGTATATCGCTTGACTGGGTTGAAAATTCTGTGAAATTCCAGCACAGTCAAAATGAGTATTTCATAAAGATTCAAACTTTATAAAATACTTATTTTTCCAGAGGGATTGCAGTGACACTTTAATGAAGTAGTTTTAGTGTTTATATCAGGCCTCTGGAGTCTCACTGCTCAATTCGCCCGTGGCTGTGACTAACACAGCATTCATAAAAGAATGGTCTGATTTTCAATCAGATGTTTATTTACTTTAGAAGTTTTTTTTTATACCATGCTCTGTACATTAAACTTTAATCACACACAGGGTGCTCCTGCAAGGTGTAGCAGACTTTTCTCACAGTGCAGGACAGGTTCAGGTAAGTTAAACTCACCTTTCCCTGCCCTGCGATGTTACTTTCGAGGTCACTTTTGGGGGCAAATTCTGCAAAGTAACCTTTTAAAATGTAAAATTGTATTTCTGTGTGTGTGCTGTTCCTTAATCTATATTTTGTAAACATTTACTTCAGTGTTAGAGCATGATATGCTATGACATTATCAGATCTATTTATCACTGTACTATATCATCCTTTCACTGTTATTGTCCTGGACAATCTAGCCCAAAAACCCTTTAGGTTATTATTTTGGACCCTATTATAATCCTGACATTGTTTTCATATGGTCTAAGAAAACAACTATATAGTATGACCAATCTTAGATGATTTCAGGAAAGTTTGATGTCCATAAAGTCACACTTCAACTGCTCTTGAAACAGTGTTAACTAACGAAGTAAAACTAATGTAATTACATGCTCTGATGCACCTCGATGTAACATGGAGAAATAAGCTGACAATATATTTCTTAGATTTTTTTATTTTTTTTTAAAGAAAAAAATCCATTGGTTCTTTGAGGCATCAATTAAGTTGTCACCCCAGTAGTTTTCTGCTGTCATCAGACATAAGGCTAAAGTATGAAGCAGATTTGCCCATGCAAACTCCTGTTAAACACCTTGCAAGCTATTTGAGGAGATTTAACTGTACAATGACACAAGGTCGTTTGTTCCGATTAAAGGTATGGAGACTTCTCTTTCAGCATAGGAAAGGACGCTTTACTATAAGAACAGAAAAGACGTGGAATTCATTACCTAGTGAGATTGTGATGGCAGATGCAATAAATAATTTCAAAGCAGGATCAAACACTTAGCGAGAAATAGCATACACATTTCTGACAGAATTTTTAAAACCAGATACATTGTTGATCCAGGGAAAAATATGACTATTCTTACTGTTTACATTTTATTTCACTAGTGGGATAACTGATTTTTTTTTTTCTGTTTGCTTTGGTTTGCTTTTTTGGGGGGAGTAACAGAGAATAGCTCTAAAACAAAGTTGAACTTTACAGATCCAAAATAACACATACTGAGATTAATAATTATTTTTTTGTATGATTTCAGTTTTTTACAGTTATATACATAGATAACTTTCTGAAAGGCGTTATAACGTGCTTCGTTTTTTTTTTATTTGTGGTGAAAGCGTATAAATAATTGTTGTTAATATATCTAACTATGTCGCTCTGTGTAGAATGTAGCTCAGGGAAGAGAGATTCTAGGCTGGCAAAGCATTATGGGAGTTGTGCCACAGACGTTGAGTGTCAACCTTCCACACTCCTGTTGCCACAGAATCTTACATCTTCTTGTACATGTTTATTGAGTTTATCATCACAGGCATTGCTGTATACGGGCAATATTCAGCAATATGCTCATGAAGCTTGTGAAGTCATCTCTAGTTAGAGATTTTTAAACATTCTAACTTAAATTATGATGTGGATGTATGCCTGCAGGTCTTAGAAGCAGCTCATTAGTGTGATCGCGCTGCTTGTTAAATGTTACTAAAACAAAGACTCATGTCCTAGACAAATTATAAGGTCTTGCATCACATTTGCTATCAAATATGATACTATGGCTATTGCAAATTAATGAGATACTGCAGGTCAGTAGAGCAATCACCCATCTGACCAACAATTACATCAATATTAGTAAAGAGACTTGTATGTGATATGCATATAGATCTTCATCAAAGCCACAGTTGTTGGGGCAAATTTTTTTAAAATAAAATGTAAGGGCACAAGGTTACTGTTTTGATAACAATCAATTGTCAGTGTTACCTGTACAATATTTTTCTCAGGTTGAGATGTCTCTAAAACATTTACTTTTTAAACCTGCAGGTGATTATGGTAGATTTATTTAAGCACAGGGAAAATTGCTAGCAGCTGTCTCATTACAACCGACAGTATGTGGATTACGTGTTTACGAAAGAGGTGGTAGAGTCATGAAACAGTTGCTAAACAGAAGTTACAAAACCTAAAGAAATATTTTTACGTTTTAGGTGTAGAAAGAAGGCAAATGTTCCTAGATTAGACTCAAAGCAGAATTTTAAATAGAGTGGGGCATGACATGAGCTAGTGGGTGAGTAGGTCACTATATGTTCCTCTTGTTCTTCAATCATTTTATACTGATAACATCTAGCTTTGTTTGTGATCCATGTAGCAGTGATGATCATGCAGAATCTCCTATGATACACTTATGTATTATTCATGTGACAATATTGCTCGCAGTGTTCTTGCCATCCATATGCTGGGAGTGATTTTCTGCACCACACAGAGTTTATGCCTCTTAAACTGTCTGTAATGTTTATTAAAAAGTAAAGAATAAAAACCCTCACACAATACAAAATTAAAACAGTGTCACTAACTGGCAAGTTTATAGTTTAAGAATCTCATAAAGGAAACAAAACGACTTTTAATGTACATTATTTATTATACAGTAAAGGCTGTGCATTTCATTAAATCCCCCTGCATTTATTTTATGCATGAACAGCACATGATTATCTGTATATAAAACTTACCCATGCTCACTGTGTTTTACACAACTCTCAGGCGTCTATTAAGGCCAATAAAGCAAGCATTTCTGTGAAATGAATCCCGGATGGTATTGCCTACAGGTACTGCCTTGGGCTGGTTTTAGGTTTGATAAAACAGTGGAATTAATAGTTTTGTCACAGTTAATTACATGATTTTGCTATTTCATGAAGAAAAGTCATGATTTTATGAAAGACATGGAGGCGAGTATTGGTTAACCCTTTCTTTACTGTCCACTAATAGCAGCAAAGAACACAAATAGAAAAAAAAAATAGAACATATACAGTGAGACACCAGCCAATCGCCATCCAAGTCCGAGTATAATAGTAAGCACCGCCTCTAAACCTTCTTATTTCTTTGGAGATGGGACACATCACGAGGAGAGAAAGAAAACAGGAACAAAAAACAGAAAATTCAAACATCTAGAAAACACGGTAACAAAGTCCAGTAAATGACAGTCCATGGAACTTCTCAACCGGAAACAAACTTCAAAACGGTAACGGAACCTAACCATCTTAAGCGAAACACACCGGGAACAGGTGAGGACTATCGAGCAACACCGAATCAAGCTGTGAAAACATAAAGAACAGGGGCCCCATGGTTAAATCGGTACTAAAACCAGACTGCAAATGCCAAATAAACATGAACATAAACATGCATCAGGTCGTATTACACAGTGCATTAACATGTAAAAATCAAACCAGTGCACACTTGAACAGAAAAAACACTAAATAAATACAGTGCACACAACAAACAGCAAAAGCATGTAATTTTATATCAAGACATGGAGGTTCATATTGCAAGTTAAAAGCTGACCAACGATCACCGAAAAAACTTAAAGGATCTGCCACATATTCATCCTCACCTTGTAATATCTGCGTTAGTAACTGCCTTCCGGACATTAACGGAAGTACTACTCAGCAGCCCTGCGCCAGTATATCTGACTCCTGCAACATGTTGATGGACGCCGGCTGCTGCGGATCCAAGCCATTTTATAGCCCAACGTCTGCCCACAGTAATGACGATGTCAACATGTGTGTGACGTCACCCAAAAGTCACACTCACACGTTCTGGGGTCAAGTATCGCTGGCATACTTGTATGATAGCATGACGAACACTAACAAAGTAATTCAATGAATTTGTACCATTTATACTTTGACATGGATTATTCAGATATTTGAAGTTATGCTACACTAGACCAGATTAAGTCACTGTTTTATGTATGATCATTAAAGATTGATTGTAGTCCCAGCGTATGTTTTATTTACCCTGGTAGATATGGAGTACGAGGATGTATCGGGCTTACAAGGCAACAGAGGGACACATGGGCACGCAACTTCCGGGTTGCGACATGCCGGCACATGCACACTCTTGGTGGAGAGACAAAGCGAACACCTGAATGGTGAGTGCTTTTCCAATTAATCAATCAATTGTTTTGCTATATAAGTTTGTTTTATTACATGTAAATTGTGATGTATTGATCCTGAGGAAAGCCACAGACGGGGGCTGAAACATCGATCAGTGGATATACAATAAAGGAATTTATTTTATGTTTTGGCATTTGGCTTCAAGAATGCACCCGGTGACATTAATATTTAAGTGTGTGTGCAAGGACCATTAAGGTTTTATATATATATATATGTATATATATATATATATACACTGCTCAAAAAAATAAAGGGAACACTTATACAACACAATGTAACTCCCAGTCAATCACACTTCTGTGAAATCAAACTATCCACTTAGGAAGCAACACTGAGTGACAATCAATTTCACATGCTGTTGTGCAAATGGGATAGACAACAGGTGGAAATTAATAGGCAATTAGCAAAAAAAAAAACAATAAAGGAGTGGTTCTGCAGGTGGTGACCACAGACCACTTCTCAGTTCCTATGCTTCCTGGCTGATGTTTTGGTCACTTTTGAATGCTGGCGGTGCATTCACTCTAGTGGTAGCATGAGACAGAGTCTACAACCTACACAAGTGGCTCAGGTAGTGCAGCTCATCCAGGATGGCACATCAATGCGAGCTGTGGCAAGAAGGTTTGCTGTGTCTGTCAGCGCAGTGTCCAGAACATGGAGGCGCTACCAGGAGACAGGCCAGTACATCAGGAGACGTGGAGGAGGCCGTAGGGGGACAACAACCCAGCAGCAGGACCGTTACCTCTGCCTTTGTGCAAGGAGGAACAGGAGGAGCACTGCCAGAGCCCTGCAAAATGACCTCCAGCAGGCCACAAATGTGCATGTGTCTGCTCAAACGGTCAGAAACAGACTCTATGAGGGCCCGACGTCCACAGGTGGGGGTTGTGCTTACAGCCCAACACCGTGCAGGACGTTTGGCATTTGCCAGAGTACACCAAGATTGGCAAATTCGCCACTGGCACCCTGTGCTCTTCACAGATGAAAGCAGGTTCACACTGAGCACATGTGACTGAGGTGACAGAGTCTGGAGGCGCCGTGGAGAACGTTCTGCTGCCTGCAACATCCTCCAGCATGACCGGTTTGGCAGTGGGTCAGTAATGGTGTGGGGTGGCATTTCTTTGGGGGGCCGCACAGCCCTCCATGTGCTCGCCAGAGTTAGCCTGACTGCCATTAGGTACCGAGATGAAATCCTCAGACCCCTTGTGAGACCATATGCTGGTGCGGTTGGCCCTGGGTTCCTCCTAATGCAAGACAATACTAGACCTCATGTGGCTGGAGTGTGTCAGCAGTTCCTGCAAGACGAAGGCATTGATGCTATGGACTGGCCCGCCCGTTCCCCAGACCTGAATCCAATTGAGCACATCTGGGACATCATGTCTCGCTCCATCCACCAACGTCACATTGCACCACAGACTGTCCAGGAGTTGGCAGATGTTTTAGTCCAGGTCTGGGAGGAGATCCCTCAGGAGACCATCCACCACCTCATCAGGAGCATGCACAGGCGTTGTAGGGAGGTCATACAGGCACGTGGAGGCCACACACACTACTGAGCTTCATTTTGACTTGTTTTAAGGACATTACATCAAAGTTGGATCAGCCTGTAGTGTGTTTTTCCACTTTAATTTTGAGTGTGACTCCAAATCCAGACCTCCATGGGTTGAAAATTTTGATTTACATTTTTTAATGTTTGTGTGATTTTGCTGTCAGCACATTCAGCTATGTAAAGAACAAAGTATTTCAGAAGAATATTTAATTCATTCAGGTCTAGGATGTATTATTTTTGTGTTCCCTTTATTTTTTTGAGCAGTGTATATATATATATATATATATATATATATATATATATAAATATATAAAAGGAAAAATTATCCAAAGGTGCACACCTGGACTAAAATAGCAGGGTTTTTTTTTTTCAATTTATTGTGCAAAAAAGAATGTTTCGAAGTAAAACCACCGTTTCGACGTATTCAGGTTTTTCTCAAGATCACATGTGCATACAAAATAACAGTGTATTTAAATAATGAAGTGTAATATGACTTACCAGTGTTTATGCAGTGATTTCCCCACCGAGACTGGAAACCCGGAAGTGTGCATAGAACACGAGTAACGTGGTCACGTGTAGTTGCCATGGAAACCCGACAGGACGCCTGGCAACAAACTACGGTGTGCTGAAATGATCAGTGTGAGTGCCGAATGCGACCGGATCAAAAAAGAATCTTTAGAGATAAGAAGCCTGTGTAAAGCAAATGTGCAATGTGATCATCCTACAAGGTGTAAAATCAGTGATATAAAGCAAATACAAACGTGACTGATATGGTGTCAGCTTCTTCGAAAGAAAAAAAATGCATAGATGTGATGGAGATATGAAGGATCCAAATGTGTTAAAGGTATCCAGTAAAATAGAATAGAGATGAGCTGCATTCAGTGCAATACATATATAATTATACATTGGGCGTTAAAGGGTCCCTCTAAAGAGACTATATATGTACTTCCAAGGTAGGAGGAAGAGGAAAGGTTACATAATTTTTTTTATATATTAGTATTGATTACAAATAATATATTACTAGCCTAAATACTGGCTGAATAACTATAGTGTCCTTAGAGGACATATGAGCCACTGTCTCAAATATATTACCGTGGACCTAAGCTGAACAACTATCTAACTCAGGCAAGACAAGCGGAACGCCTATCGCAAAAAATAAATGTAAAAAAGAAATGAATAATAATATTCGTAATTAGAGGAAAATATTGAGACTATTTACTATATACAGAATATGAACTATGTACTGGACTGGAAATAAGTTTAGCTAAAAAAAGCTAATAGTAACTGATTACTTAAACCAAAGAGATAGAAACGATCTATGGGTACATGTCGAATATTTCATATTTTTACGTATTGCTTTTGGTTTGTTGTAACAGTGTGTGAGATCTCCTTTTAAGTCATGTAGATTTTTATTGCGCTTGTAACTGATAAAAGGTTTTTCTTGAAACTTTGTTGGAAGATTGTTATCAGACTGTAGGATGTCCCAATGTTTATAAATCGAAGTGCGCACTTTTTGTGTCCTTGTGTGGTACGGTAGTGGTACAAATATGCGTTGTTTTTTATGTTCGTTCACCTCTTCCCTTTGATTTTCTTGTGTTGAAACGTTCAAACGCCTTCTCTTTAGTGTTGAAGAGGGTCTGCGGATGATATCCCCTTTCTAAAAATCTGTTCCACATCTGTGATAGCTGTTCATCGCGATTTTTAATATCACTGTTGTATCGTAGAACCCTCAGGAATTGGGATATAGGGAGAAAGTCTTTGATGTGTTGGGAATGGAATCTTGTAGCTCGAAGTAAGGTGTTACCGTCTGTTGCTTTGCAGTACAGTTTGTAAGAAGTATGTACGTGAATGTAGGTGTGTGTTTGTATGTAGTGTTGGCATTTGAATGCAGGCATACATCTTTGTATAGTGTGTTTTTTTAATACAGTGGTGTGTTTATATATAATGGTGGTGTTCTAATACTTAGGTGTGTTTGTAGTGTTGAGGTTTGAATACAAGGGTGTATTTGTGTGTAGTGTTGGCAGGATGCTGAGATGTATGCACATACACACACACACACTGACACACATGAAGATACACAGACACACAGCTACACAAACAGATGCATATTCACACATGCATATACACAGACACATAGGTACACACATGCAGATACATAGACACACATTCACACACAGATACTGACACATATGCCCATACACACACACATGCAGCTACACAGACACAAACACTGACATAAATACACAGATACAAACACACATACAAAAACAGACACACAGGTACACACATGCAAATACACAGACACACAGTCACACATAGATACACAGATACAAAAACACATACAGATACAAACACTGACACACAAACAAATACAGACATACAGATACACAGATGCAAACACACAGATACACATGCAGATAGACAGGTACACAGAGTGTGTGTTTTTATAGTTGATGCATTGTGTGTAGTGGCTGCAGAGTCTGTGTGTAGTGCATGTAGTGAGCGTGTTTGTGTAGTGCATGTAGTGTGCATGTTTGTGTAGTGTGTGTTTGTATAGTGCATATAGTGTGTGTTTTTGAGCAGCCGATGCAGTGTGTTTGTATAATGGATGCAGTGCATGTTTG